CACTCTTTCTTTATTACACAACATAAATACATACACAAATACACAAACAAACCCCATATAACTCGGTTTCCTCTCAACAATGCTTTGAAACCGACCCAATTGATTACAGAAAATAATTCTGCAATAATTTCTAAAAACTATCAATACACATATTTATAGAGATAATTTAGTAACCGATAGAAACTTCCCAACCTTAACTGCAGAATTAAAAACTTCCAAATAACCGATTGAAACTGCTCTTGAATCACATATCTAACACTCCTCCTTGATTCAAGAACTCTTCAAGAAACAACTTCTATCTTCTTCTTCATCGACTTGGTTTGACGGACATCGAACCGCTACCACTCAAACTCGTGTTATTCCTTTCAGAAACCCTCTAAACACTTTTCCGAATACAAGTGCTTCTTTTGGTTCTGTTTTGAACAACACTTCAATTTCAGCAGCATATTTCTTCCGCTTCAAACCTTTTTTCATCAACATGTGCTTCTCCTAACAGCAAGGAATGCCACTAATGAATCGATTTGATTTGGCTCCCTTTTGCGGAAACTGTCTCGTGACCACAACACACCAGCCCATCGATCAGTCTTACCGGAAACTCAGCCGCAATCCACTGAAATCTCCATCACCGACACACCGAGCCATCGAGCCTCCTCCGTTCCGATCAAATCTCAAACAACTCTCATTTCTTTCAAACCCAAAACACAAAAACCCGAAATCGAATCGGTTTCTCGACCCATACTCCCACAGATCCCAAAAAGATCACATACGCTCTGATACCATGATAACTTTTCACAAAGTTAAACACTCTTTACATAAATACATACACAAATACACAAACAAACCCCATATAACTCGGTTTCCTCTCAACAATGCTTTGAAACCGACCCAATTGATTACAGAAAATAATTCTGCAATAATTTCTAAAAACTATCAATACACATATTTATAGAGATAATTTAGTAACCGATAGAAACTTCCCAACCTTAACTGCAGAATTAAAAACTTCCAAATAACCGATTGAAACTGCTCTTGAATCACATATCTAACAGGGTCACTTAGGGTTGCTTTAGGTTTTAGGGACTGTGTATTAAGGGAATATTTGTAGTTGTTAAATAAATGCATGGGAGAAAGAAAAGAGGGGAAGGGGACAAAATGGGCAAACATTGAGTTGATATTATTATTTGAGATGAAAGGTCACAGTCATTCTTTTTGAGGGCTCTCGTCCTGTTTATTGCTTATTGTTATTATTACTCTCTTGTCTTTTGCCCTTCTTCTCCAATCCCCACTCACTCCCCTCTCACTGTGTTGCCCTTTTTATTTGTTTTGGCTCCCTGAAATCTTCTCTCCATCTCTTTCTCGATTCCTCTTAAGAAATTAGGGTTTCCCCTTGTTTGAGGATAACCCTAATCCCTCAATATCTATATCGATCCTTTTTGCGGTTTCGTTGGCTAAGGGTTGAAGCCTATACTCTACACGCTTTGGAAGCAAAATTCAAAGGGTAAAAAGCCCTTGAAAGAGGGAGAAAGCTATACTTAGATCGTCAAAGAACCTAGATCTAAAGGCAGGTATATACAGATGAGACTCTATGCGTGTGTATCTCTCTCTCTATATATATAATTATAAATATATATAAGTCTCTAGATGCATGTGCACATATAGGTTTCCGATCATATATAGATATCCCTTTTCTACTCTTACGTTTTTCAGCTTGTGTGATCTATGCTCCATGTTATTAATTAGTTTCTCTCACAACCCGTCTTTTGTTTCGTTTTCCTGTATATAAGTAATCATCATGGTTTCCCAAACAAAGGGAATATGCGCGTTTAGTAAAGATCTTGATCATACCGTGTAATCGTGTCAGTTAAATTGATACAAGTTGAGGTGCGAAACCCATATATACGTATGTCAAAGGATAGGTTAGAGGGCAGCAAATCATGCAATTGAATTGAGGGAGAGAGAGAGAGAATCATGCAGAAAGCTCATTGTTTTGATTTTCGAACAAATCTAGAGAGAGAAAGAGAGAGAGAGAATGCGGTGGAAGAATGAAAAATATTCAGGGTTTAGAAATCTTCACAGAGAGAGATAGAGAGAGAGGCAGAGCGTAAATTCACATTAATTTCATCTAGAAAAAGAGAACCGAAAAACATTTAGCCAATTAAGAAAACGTGTCGTCTGGCTCTTACATAATCCAGAGTTTTATATATCTCCTGAAGCTGTCAGAGATTACTGCAGAAATATCTTCATACCCTATTTTGAAATTTTTAACATTAACTAAATATGCATTTTCAATTCTTTGTAATCTTTTTTTTTTAAATAGAATTCTGTCATCTGCTTTGCATACTTTTTTATTGGATAAATTGTATTGGTAATTTACGAAGATGATGTTTGGCTTTAGAATTTAGAATGAAATGTGGCGAATACGTAATTTTTGTGTGTAGCCGACAAACCGATTTTAACTTATATTTATTAAGGTAAATTTTTTTCTAGGAGTTGTGATGGAAGAATTCTTAAATTGTATCCATGTTTGTGTTTATTGTACAATTTTATCAGATGTATGAATTAGGACATGTTTCTGTATATTTGTGTGTATGTTGTATGTGTGTATATGTATACATATATATATATATATGTATATGTTTGTGTGTGTGTGTGTTCTTTTCTTTTTTGATGTGTGTATGCTGCAAATGTATAGTTTAACTTTATATACGACTAATTAGCTTAGGTATGTCTATATAGTTTCTATTCATTAATTATTCAAATACCTTCATGAAGCTATATATAATATCACCAAGGGGGTTTTGCATGCCTAAGGAATATGATTAATATTTTCCATGGAATATATGTTTATAGAATCTTTTTTTTTTGTTTCCTAATTCCAAAAGGAGGGCCACGCGATCCATACCTTGAGGGTTGGACAGGCTCGAGAGCAAGTCAAATCTTCAAATTTATTTTGAATTTAGAAATTAATTTTGTTGGAAATAAATTATAAATTAATACATAATTTTTTCACCAAATAATTTAGTTTAGCATGTCCTAAGAGTATAAAACAAGACGATATCGTTTGAAAAATGGAATACGATAGCGATGTATGTATGCATCTATAACACACACACACATATATATATATATATATATATATATATTTATGTGTATATATAGACGTGCTTATATATGAATATTCACATATATAGGGACATACATATATACAATACACGACTACATGAGTCTTTGACTTCTTTATGTGCAAAGACTAACGGGATTGCCGCATTTTAACGACTTTAATTAGAATATTTCTTTATATTTCCTCACTGATGAATAAAAACAGTGAACACACAGATGATTATTTGCATACATCCATATATGCACATACATACACATAGATACAATTATATTGTTTATACCGTACACGCATGCACACAATAACATGTACTGTGCATATATATGTAACTGCGTATACGCACAAATTTGTACTGACACTGACACACAGATACACGTTAGCGTGTACACATGTGTTTGCATACATACAAATACAGGCACACGAGTGTATCTACATATGGTCACGGACACACAGCCAAGCATATATATACATTTATGCAAATATACAAAAAGAGACACGCACGCGCGACCACACAAGCATATATATTCACACACGCATATACATACATACACATATATATATATATATATATGACACAAATCTTCCTGTCAGAACTCTACTTAGAATGGTCGAAGTAAATATGTTTCCTCGATATCTATCACTTGTTTTTTATGAGTTCTCAACGATGATAAAATCCATATCATTAACAAGAACATCTAAAGCATACGCATGGTTGATTGTTTTTTTTCTATGTGGAGGGTATATCTTCCTCATCTTTGGACCGACTAATCACAGAAGCTGTATATATATATACACGAACTATGTCATCGTTTTCGTTTGGTTAATGTAGAAAATCAAGAGAAAAACCTAAGGGAAATGGCATCGTCGTCGAGCTCATACAACTCACCTTGCGCGGCGTGCAAGTTCCTCCGCCGGAAATGCATGCCGGGATGCATATTCGCGCCTTATTTTCCGCCGGAGGAGCCTCAGAAGTTCGCCAACGTCCACAAGATCTTCGGGGCGAGCAACGTGACGAAGCTCCTGAACGAGCTCCTCCCTCACCAGAGAGAGGACGCCGTCAACTCTCTCGCCTACGAGGCCGAGGCTCGGGTCCGGGACCCGGTCTACGGCTGCGTAGGAGCCATCTCCTACCTGCAGCGACAGGTCCACAGGCTCCAGAAGGAGCTCGACGCCGCCAACGCCGACTTGGCACGTTACGGCCTCTCCGGGTCCGGCGAGGTGGACCTCGTCTTTCAGCCTCAGCCGCCGCCGCCTCCGGCGCAACCGCAGGGGGCGTATAGGATGCCTCTAGGGGCAAATCCGGTAATTCGCCCTGGAGGAGGAAGGGGTTTAGGGTATGATAATCATCAGCCTTTTGGACCTTCTCTTCCTTGGAACGATGAAGAAGGAGGACAAGGAGGCAACATGTGAGAGATTCCGAGGGAGTTGTTGTCGTATATATGACGCTTCATATCTCCCGTTTTATGTTATCGTGAGTTTGTGGTTTCAAGACCGGAGTTCATGCGGTTTGAGTTTGCTATATGTGTGTGTATGTATCGTAAGGGTGCTATATATATATATATATATATATATTTGTTGTGTCGGACATATTATTCAATGTTGGTGAATTCTGTTGATGTCACTTGTGTTGACTGTTCTTTCTCTTGATGTTGTTGGTTATTTACTTGGTGGGTTCAATGCCTATAAGCGTCGGATATCTACATCTGCTTTTATTTAGTGGTTCTTTAAAGTTATAAATATCTTATTAGTATACATTTGATTAACCCATTTCATAAAATTAGAGAAATCAGATAAGAATTTGCTTTGAAGTCGACCTATAATAATTGAAGGATCCATGGCATTAGATTTTGGTAATTATATTCCATTATTGTTCATTGTATTCGTAGCCACCACACTATTCGTATTTTGTTTATATATTTTATTTCATATGTTTCAATATTAATTATATAATAGTATTTCAGATTATATTAATTAGTAGAGCGACGGCTAGGCATGTGCAGTCTTGAATTTTTTTCTCCTCCCCAACTTTTTTCTTTTCGAGAATATTTTATACTGTAATAGCAGCTTTTTATCCGCTATACCTATACATACAAACATATACTGTCATATTAACTTGTACATTTTTTTATTATATCAATATATTGTGAATAATTTTTTTGCCATTATAGATATAAAATCTTTATAATTTTAGCGTGACATGTTATGCAAAACCTTTGTATGCAGTAATTTCAAGCCCCGATCGCTTTTTCTGAAGGGTGTGCAGAGGCTTTCCTATAGCTTTTTATACCCTTTTTCCTATGAAAATCTACAGTATGACTATTAATTTCCTTTTTAACCATTGAACTTTGTCGCAAACCTTTTGACGTACCTTTTTATTTGTATAAATAAATATATATATATATATATATATATATATATATATAATTATTTAGAGGAAGCCCAAATATGGCTTTTTTTTTTGCTAAGGCCCAACTCAAATCTAGGAGGAGTTTGGAGCCACAAGTCATCACGAACATCATGTCAAGGTTATTGGAAATTTCGTTCTTAATATCACGAGGACCGTCACAGATTATTAAACCACCGGACTATATGAGATTCCGGTCAAATGGGTGTAGTTCATTATCCATATCGCCTTTTTGCGTTTAGATGACAAAATATAAAAAGGTGAAATAACTGCGATTTGATTATTAAGCCATTGTTATCAAAGTTTTGACTATTTCATGTACCATGTAATGATTGACTTTCGAATAGAAACTAATAGTTTCACATATATGCATGTATGTATGTATGTATATATATGCATGCATGTGTGTATGTATATGTTAGGTTTGGAAGGGGACATGCATGTCTTTTTTGGATATTCTGAAAAAGGAAAGAGGGAGTAAAAAAACGCACATGATATGGGGAATCGAGGATCAATCTAATCGGATGGATATGGAGGAGACGTGAAAAAGAAGCAAAGCCCATTGATGAGTGAAACAATGAAACAGCAGAGAGAGAGAGAGAATGACATCTCCATTGTACATGCATGCGGGGTCCTTTTGCTTTCTACGTGATTGTTCAACACTGTAACACACACACACATATAACCATATTATATATATATGTGTATGTATATAAAGAGAGAATAAAATTTGGAAATGATTCAAGTAATTTCACTGGCGGAAAATAGTGTAGTGATTGTGGTTGAATAAGGAATAGTCAGTAGTGTATGTTTTCTTTATGACACGAATCTTACGCGATGCTATAATACAGTTGATGGTCCATTATCATATTTTTTTTTAATTACGGAGAATCTCTGTGACTACCTACCCTTACAAACGGAGACGAATTGGCCACCACCCGCGCCTAACAGTCTCCATGGACCTCAGTCCGCCGGACCTGGCCACCAGACGCGCCTAACGCTCGGGTCGTAGTTGGGCTTAGGCGCCCGCAGGTCAAACCCCACGCCCACGCGCACTAGCCTGCAACACACGCGGATGAGGTAAATCAACCCATTATGATGGGCTGACAGGCGAGCAGGTCAAGGGGAAGAAAGAGCGACGATTAAAGGATTCGAACCCTCCACCTCAGGGTGCTGCTCCCCTGCTCCCTTACCACCTGACCTGGCCCTGGTCCATTATCATATTATCATATGAACAATGGTAAAAGCTATTTTTTAATGAGAAAAATCGCACGTTTTATATTTTATAATTTAGTAGTAACATTCCAATTCATTTGTGTTGGATTGTGCCTCAAAACTCAGAAGGAGGAGTTGAAGACAGGTTATTTATGCTGCAGTTTTTTTTTTATGTTTAAATTTGTAACGGTTGTAACAGTTGTGTCGGTTACTAAATCTGTTCTATATAATAATATTAGTGTCCTTGATTGTAATAATTTATTTCAGATTATTCATATCAGAAAACAGAATATTGTTATTGATAAAAAAATTTTGGCCCCGTCGTTGGCCGAGAGATACGGATATCAAATCAGTAGATTTTTTTTTGGTAACCAATATCTTGTACCGAGACCTAAACTAATCCTGAAATTGATAGCAAACCATATGATTACATTTCCCTTTCAAGTTCGAATTTGGAGCGGGACAAACGTTTTGTATTCCATTTATCCGGTTGAACTGTCCAAATTGGATATTTGATCAATAGATATTCATGTAAAGATTAAGATTTCACGATTAATTTGAGATAATCGGAAGTATCAGTTATTAAAAACTAGAATTATCAGTATTAATTTGCATAAAATAGATTCAGAGTGTACGTTTGCTACACGTTCATTTCCGTAACAAAGAATTATAAGATTGAATTTCATGAAATAATGATGCGTACATAAAAGTCGGTTCGTGACATATCTTAAGATATAATTTCAAAATGTATTCCTTTATTCAGTATGTTTTAAACCATTGTTTCACAACAAATGGACGGTTCAATGATTGACCAAATATGTATTGTAATCGCCGTACCACTGTCTTAAATAGATTTCATTATGATTAACATTGGATTTGGAGTTTGACTTGTTGACCTTCTCCTCCTCCCAAACCCCACCCCATGCAACCTTTGTTACTTCTTTTTATATTGACAAATAATATATATATATAATGAATGAAAGCAAAATAAATGTATTGAAGAAACAAATTTTAGAATATTGATTGATTCATCCCACTCTCATAATTTTAATATATGTTTCTGGTGCGTGCCTTTTGAAGAAAAGGGAAAAAAGGAAGAGATAATATGAATCATGGCTGCAATTATTTGTAGAACTCTTGTCAATCATAAGCACCACTGACTCGGCTCCTCCTGATTTCCCCTCTATTTCGGACATCACACACACACATACACATATATATACACACACATATGTATATATATATATATACACAAACATACACGTATACAAAAACATGATAAATGATACATAACAGCGTAATGCATTGAACCAAAAAAAAAAAGGAGGAAGACGAAGAAAAAAGGAGATGTGAGAGTGAGAGTCCCAAACTAGTGAAGATCTGTCTCGGATTGGACATTCTGTCCGATTTCATTTTGATTATTTCTCAATTTAGAATTCATTAAAAGCTATACCCATTAATCTTTTATATTCGAACATTCTGTTCCATTTTTCCAATTAATTTACCTTTTTTTTTTAAAAAAAAAATACACATACTGAATTTTAAAATGAAATATCATTTGATTTAATTTCATGTTTTAACCAAACGGTAGACCCCTATTGTTACGAGGATCATATATCGGAGGCGAAACATGACATGTTGAGAAGCATTAACGAATCGACCGACGTCAAATAAAATGAGATCAAAGCCAGAAAACATAATAGAACCCAAAGTAAATCTATCGAAAGCGCTACCCAAAAACATCACGTTTCCCTTTATATAATTCAAGATTCATTTTAAAACGAACAAATAACGAAATAAATTTGGAAGCTCAATCAGAATGCAAATAAATGAATCAAAATTGTGTTGGAATTTAGGGCGTGTGATGAACAAAACAGTGTCTCCGCATTCACATTTGGTAGTGATCTCCCTCCTCAATTACCACCTTTTCTCAAGAGCGTTTCTTTGACTTCATTTCCCCTCGTGTAATGAGAGCATCAGTCACACGAAGCCATGCAACGATCCTTGAGACACTGACTGAGGAAACAGAGACACTGATGATACAAGAGATATAGAACATTAATTTAAAGCTACGTCCCGTAATATCTCAGAGTATCGTCTTGTTTTCCTACGGAGTCGTGAACGCTGCCCTTTTGTCGGATACCATTTTAAGATGCATGACAACAACCTGTAATTCTATATGCCAACTTTCGGTATGCATTTTAGAAAGTATATAAGAACCACACCCTCTCCTTACCGGCTTTCGGAAACATCTCACTCAGCCCAAAAAATATAGACGGAGGCTTGAAATTTACTGAAGACTGAAAATGCAGACATCATTTTCACGGTTTGGATTGCTTGCATGAATGTAAACGATGAGAGCAGGTGGTCAAAGCTTGACTTCAATTGTTGCCCCCACAAAATGTCTGACACTCTCAATATATTCCTATATATAGAACACAAGCTAAAATTTGATTTGCACTCACAAAAGAAATAGATTCATGTGATTGTGGAGTTACTCTAAGCACTTCAATTCCAGACTCTGCAGCAGAAACGGAGTCCCCTTGTCCCCCATGCTCTCAATGAGATATAGATTCCCTCAGAATGTTTGTGTTTAAACAACCAACCAATCAGTTCCTACAAAGATCAATAATCACCCATTAACCAAGATGCTCGAATCAGACATAAAACAGCTTATTTCCGCAATAAATCATTGCCAACAAGACACCAGAAGGATCAACTACCATTGTAAGCATCTTTTTTTTGGGGTTTTAAAAAATGGAACAACAGAGTGAAGCTGATACATACCTGCTGCTGCCGAGTGCGTCCTCTGTTTCTCTCAATCCCGCTTCCATCTCTGCAAGTTCCTCTACAAATTGATAAACCAAAACTACAAACCTCAGTGACGAACCATTGGTACAAAAACGAGCCATCTTTTTACCAAAGGATTTTCTTCTGATAATTGATAATGTATCCGCTCTGGATTATAGTATTCTATTTTTTTTTATTCAACAATTCCCTTTGGATCACAGTTGTATAGCCAAATACAAACATGATGTTGTCTCCTCCCTTCTATTTTTTTTTCCTACATTATATTGCTTCTTTTTTTTTTCCCACGACATACTTTCGGTTACCTTTTGTTTTCAATAATGTTGAGTCAATGATCAGGAGAAGCAAAACCCAAAGGACGACAAATTCCCAAAAAAGAAAAGAAACATCAGTTCCGGATTCAAGAAACGGAATCGGAGAAGTGACTAAGCACCTTGGCTCCGAGCGGTGGTTTGTGGTCGCTCCACTAACGAATCATAGGATCTCCGGAGCGGTAAATTCTTTCTCGACCATCGGTCGCAGAGATCCCGTCGTCCTCTCCGTTGAATCTCCTGCGATAATCTGCTCCATTTCCAGAGAGAGAGAGAGAGAGAGAAAGAGAGAGAGAGAGGAATAACGATGGAATGAAAGAGATTTCCATGTTTGATTCATGTACTGGTTCATTTCGTAATCCGTTTTTTCAAATATATATCATTTCTATTTGCTCCAAACGAGATAAAAAATGGCAAAATTGATTTTTCGATTTTTCGTTCTAAAATTTATTCGATCTAAGATGGATGATTGCATGCGATTCTTCTAGATTTTATTCACAAGAACTTTTGATCATTATGTTGAAAAAAAAAATGCATCAAAATCTTTATGATATGAAATGATCGTTTTCTAAAAAAAAGTCATCAGCAAATCATTGACTAAATCGAAGAAACACATATATTCCAAAGAAAACAGAGCCGCCGTCTACCGCCGAAGTATAAGAACCGCATATCCAACACAACGAAACCTGAAGAAATTCTCCCTTCTTACTTACTTTCTAAAGTTCTTTGAATCGTCTTTATATCTCTCCACAGAGACGTTTCTGGACGCCAAGCTTGAAGCAGACGAGCGCATCAACAGTGGCCTGAAGGATCTGCTCATTGCGCAGGTTGCGTCTGTCCCAGTCACTTCTACTGATGCTAGGTTTCAATTCCACACCTTTGTATCCCAAACACTCCTTGACGATCGTCTCGAATGAAGAACCACGGAGGCTCACGCCGTCAGAATTTTTCACGTAGTGCCTTATGTCCAGAATATCACCGATCTCTAACTGATGGTTCGAGTTCAACAGCATCTTCTTGTCTTGACCGTTCCAGAATCCGACGAAGGTTATCCCGAAATCGCGGAGGAAACGACGGAGGATTTGAGGGAGGTAATCGCAGTGGTTCAGTTGGATGATGAGACAACGGCTTTCGACGCAGAGCTGTAGAGTGTCCGCGGAAGAATTGGTGCCGAATTGGTCATTCCACTGGACGCCAAGACCGACAATGAGACGGCCGAAGTGTATGTGGTGGCGGTGGTGGTAGCGAATGGACTGAATCCAGCGGCGGATGACGGAGGTAGTGTCCGTGACGGTGACGATCAAGGGATTTCCGAAGAAATCGACGGCGTACAATCGGCGGTCGTCGAGCTCAGCGGGAGCGCTGATCGTCGGGGCCATGGTTTCTCTCTCTCTCTAAAATTTGAAATGAATTCTGTAAACAGGAGGAGAGAGGAATTGGGAGGGACGCGAAGGACGGTATTTATACCATGTATCACAGTCTGTGCACAGCAAATGATCGGAACCGTTGATTTGAGTAAAATTTAAAATCGACGGCTTCCATTCTTTAAAGCCGTGAAGCCAATTAGGCTTGGACTCTATTAATAAAACATTAACGGGCCGAGAAAATCGTTCAGGTTTACATAACTGTTTAGGCATTTTATTTAGTTTTAGAAAATTAATGCGCCATTTCTTCCTTCCGTAAGAAATTAATTGGGCCGATTTGCAAAGCTATTGGGCTCAATCAAATTGAGCATAAACAATTAAAACTTAAAAACTGGGCCTAAAGACAACCAAGGGTACACAGTAAGTAACCATTATCGAATTCATTCTAAGTAATAACTGTGACTAACCGGAATCAAGTCTAATATAAAAATTGAAATTTAATGATTATGATTTTTTAAGAAATGATTACGAGAGGAAATTTCTATTTTATCATTAAAAAACAAACCAAACGTCGAGACAATACCGAATCCAATTTAATATATAAGACAAATGGTTATGATATTTTTAAAAGAAAAAATCTCAAAAAGTACTTGAATTTGTCAATTTTTATAAAACAAAACTTAAAATATGTTTTTTACCAAATAAAATTTCAACTGAGTTAAAAATACCTAACTTTTATAACAATTATCATTTTTAAACTCAAATATATATTGATGTGATGTAGAGGATGATATGTCAAAGTAAATTTGTCAAATAAAATATTGTTATATCATGTCAGTATTTAGATTTAAAAATCACAACGGTTATAAAATTTTAAATTTTTTTATTGAAAAATAAATTTGAAATTTTATTTGATAGAAAACGAATCTTTAGTTTTGTTTTGTGAAAATTGAAAAATTAACATATTTTTGGAATTTTCCCTTATCAAAATCAAAATAAACAAACCTAAATATAATCAACCCGAATATGAAAACCATCCATACCTTAAGACTGGCTGAGGAACATAAAACTTTTCACAATTAAAACTACATCTCGTACTATCTCAAAACATCGTCTTGTTTTCTACCATTTTAATGTACATGACAAACTCTCTTTCCTTATCATCTCACTCGCCATCGAAATATAGATGGAAACTTGAATTTTAGTGAAGACTATATAACACAAGGGTTGAAAATCCAGAGGGAAGATTTAAAGTACTTGCATGTATAGACATCACTTCACGATTTGGATCGCTTGCACCAATGTTTTGTGAATTTGAATTTAACCCCTGTAAACAATCGTACAAGAACCAGTGATAAAGCTTGAATTAAAAGAACTTCAATTGTTGCCAACACAAAATGTCATGCCCCCCATTCACCGTGAAAAAACCCCTTTCCATTCTATCAAAAAAGAAAACTTATCAAGTTCCATAATGTCTCAATATATTCCTAAATAAAGCACAAACTAAAGTTTGATTTGCAGTCACAAAGAATAAGATAAGCAATGAATACCTGTTTTTTTTTTGTAAGTGGGTGTATTGAATCGAAGTCTAGACTAATCCCATAAATGAGAACAATCTATGTGATTAAATTATGTTCCTCTCCCCAATTTAAGACTCGAATTTGGGACGAAACACACGCTTTGTGTCTCTATTTCACCGGTTCAACAACCAAGTTGGGTTGCAAGCAAAGAATATTTTGTAATTGTTGGAGTGTAAAACGGATTGACCTAGCCCAACTCGTTCCGATCTGGAAAAATTTTAGTCTAATCCAATCCATTGGTTTTTTACCGAGTTAAAAATATATCAGTCCAATCCATATCGTAGCCAAATATGTAAATTTTAAAAATAAAATTTTAATAATAAAAAATATTTAAAAATAATTTTAATATTTAAAAAATATTTAAAATATAATAAAAAAATAATTTTTCGTTCTAAAATTATTCGATCTAAGATGGACGATTGCATGCGATTCTTCTAGATTCTATTCACAAGAGCTTTCGATCATTAGATTGGGAAAAAAAATGCATCAAAATCTTTCTGATATGAAACGATCGTTTTCTAAACAAATGTCATCACCAAATCATTGACTAAATTGGAGAAACACATATATTCCAAAGAAAACAGAGCCGTCTACCGCCGAAGTATAAGAACCGCAGTTTTTTCTATGCAACACAACGAAACCTGAAGAATTCTCCCTTCTTACTTACTTTCTAAAGTTCCTTGAATCGTCTTTATATTTCTTCCCTGAGACGTTCCTTGAGGCCAAGCTTGAAGCAGACGTGCGCATCAACAGTGGCCTGAAGGATCTGATCATTGCGCAGGCTGCGTCTGTCCCAGTCACTTCTACTGATTTCCTGTTTCAATTCCACACCTTCGTATCCCAAACACTCCTTGACGACCTTTTCGAACGAAGAACCACGGAGGCTCACGCCGTCGGAATCTTCCACGTAGTGCCTTATGTCCAGGAGATCACCGACCTCTAACTGATGGTTCGAGTTCAACAGCATCTTATCAGAAAAGCTTTGTGAACAATCGCAGTAGAGAGAGAGAGCGAGAGAAAGAGAAAGAAAGTGTGGGAAAATTTTCTGTTACTTTATTTCTCAACTGTATTCTCCTTTAAATACATGACCCGCATTATAACTTTGCAACAACCTGTTGAAAATACAACTAACACTCTAATATGCCCTCCTCAAGCTTAATTCTGGTGAAGAAATAAGCTTGACAGATGCAATCTTTGCACTAATGAATGAAACAGAGTTGTTGACAAAGACTTTGTCAATAAGTCTGCAAGTTGATTGTCAGAAGATACATGCATTGTCCGAATCAGCCCTTCCTTCAGCTTATCTCGAACCAGATGACAATCTAACTCTATGTGCTTCGTCCTCTCATGAAATGCAGAGTTAGAAGCCAGATAAATCGCAGACTTACTGTCACAAAAGAGATTCGCAGGTCGTATGAGTGGAATGTCCAGATCCTTAAGCAAATTGTCAAGCCAAATAACTTCACAAACTGTATTCGCTAAGGCCCTATATTCAGCCTCTGTACTGCTCCTTGAAACTGTTTGTTGTTTCTTTGATTTCCATGAAATCAGTGAATCACCCAAGAAAACACAATATCCTGTGATTGAACGTCGTGAATCCGGACATTGTGCCCAATCAGCATCTGAAAATGCATTTAATTGTAGAGCAGAAGTGGCTGAATAAAAGAGACCCTGCCCAGGATTATTCTTAAGAAATCGAAGAATCCGCTGAGCAGCCTTGTAATGATCCTCTGTAGGTTTCGAAAGATACTGACTTAGCTTATGAACTGCAAAGGTTATATCAGGCCTAGTGATTGTAAGATACAACAATCTTCCAATCAAAGCCCGATATGTAGAAGGATCACTGAGATAAATTCCTGAGTCAGACTTCAGATTGACATTCGCATCCATCGGAACTGAAACTGGTTTACAACCTGAGAAACCAGTATTTTCCAAGAGCTCAAGACAATACTTTCTCTGGCAAACAGATATTCCACCCTTGTTTCTAGCAATTTCCAATCCAAGAAAATATTTCAATGGTCCTAAATCTTTGATCTTGAAGTGTTCAGCAAGAAGAATCTTCAAATCAATTACAGCCTGATCATTATTGCTGGCAATGATAATGTCGTCTACATATACCAACAATGTCAGAAATGTTGATCCTGTCTTCTTAACAAACAATGTATGATCCCCTTGTGACTGACGAAAACCAGCAGCAATCAATACAGATGAAAATTTCGAATACCACTGCCTAGAAGCTTGCTTTAATCCATAAAGACTCTTCTGCAATTTACATACAGCATTCTGTGGCAGAGTAGTACCTTCTGGAGAATTATAGCCTGGAGGTAATTGCATGTAGATGTCCTCTTCTAAGTCACCGTGTAAGAAGGCATTAGTGACATCCATTTGGGAAAGACTCCAGTTCTGTGTTGCAGCCAGAGCAAGAATCAATTTCACAGTCACTAACTTTGCAACTGGCGAAAAAGTGTCTGTATAATCCACTCCCTCTTGTTGAGTGTATCCTTTAGCCACTAACCGAGCTTTATAACGCTCAACACTGCCATCAGCCTTTCTCTTTATCTTATAAACCCATTTACATCCCACTGGTTTCTTGTCATGAGGCAACTCAACAATGCTCCAAGTTCCATTCTCATGTAAAGCAGAGATCTCTGTATTCATAGCTTGCTGCCAATCAGAAGATTTGACAGCTTCTTTAAAAGTTCGAGGTTCAGTCTCTTGGTTCAGATTGAAAAGATAGTTTCTGTAATGACTGTTTAGGTGGTCATATGAAATAAAGTCTTGTAAAGGATAAGGTGTGGTTTTAGAGGTAAGGGAGTTTTCTGGTTCTTGAAAGTTTGAATGTTGGGTAAGATAACACTGATATTGTGAAAGATAAGGGGGAGGCTTAGCTGTTCGTCTTGGACGAGAGGGATTGGTGATAGGTATGTCTGAAAAAGAAGTGTTATCTGATGAGTCTAAATGAGTTTCATGAGAACTGAAAGAAGAAGAGCTATTAGTATGGTTATTTTGTGGAATTGGTATTGGTCTTTCTGAATGATCAGGAATAGGTAAAGGAATAATAGAATGGGGAAATAACTCTGAAACAGATTCGACATTTGAATCTGTTAAAGAGGTATGGGTATGGAAAGGAAAAGTGTCCTCATGAAACTCAACATTGCGGGAAATATAAATCTCGTTGGTTTGAAGGTCTAAGAGTTTATATCCCTTATAACCAGTCGGATATCCTATGAATACAGAAGATCTTGCTCTAGCCGAGAACTTATGCCTGTCACTAAGGTGAGTTGAACCATAACAAAGGCAACCAAATGATCGTAAATGAGCATAAGAAGGGGAATTACCATGAAGGATCTCGTATGGTGACCTGTTTTCCAACACAGGAGAAGGTATTCTATTGATCAAATACACTGCTGTCTTCACACAATCACTCCAGTAGATCATGGGAATATTTGATTGGAACATCAGTGCACGAGCCACATTTAGTATATGCTGGTGCTTCCTTTCTACCACCGAATTCTGCTGTGGACTGTATGGACAAGCATAATAATGAAATATCCCTTTCTTCGCACAAAGATCAGCGAAAACCAGCTCCTTAGCATTATCTGATCTAATAGCCTTGATTGTAGTCTGAAACTGATTCTCAACAAAATTCACAAACACTGGAAAATGGTGCAACACATCACTTTTGTTTTTCATCATATAGATCCAACATGCTCGGGAACAATCATCTACAATCGTAAGGAAGTATTTATAACCATCTATGGAAGGAATAGAAAAGGGACCCCATGTATCAATGTGTACCAAATCGAAAGGTTTATTAGAAATATGATTCTGGTGAATTTCCGCTCTGATACCATATCAGAAAAGCTTTGTGAACAATCGCAGTAGAGAGAGAGAGCGAGAGAAAGAGAAAGAAAGTGTGGGAAAATTTTCTGTTACTTTATTTCTCAACTGTATTCTCCTTTAAATACATGACCCGCATTATAACTTTGCAACAACCTGTTGAAAATACAACTAACACTCTAATACATCTTCTTGTCCTGACCGTTCCAGAATCCGACGAAGGTTATCCCGAAATCCCGGAGGAAATGACGGAGGATTTGAGGGAGGTAATCGCAGTGGTTCAGTTGGATGATGAGACAACGCTTTCCGACGCAGAGCTGTAGAGTATCCGCCGAAGAATTGGTGCCGAATTGGTCATTCCACTGGACGCCAAGACCGACAATGAGATGGCCGAAGTGTGCACGGTAGTAGTAGCGAATGGACCGAATCCAGCGGCGGATGACGGAGGTAGTCTCCGTGACAGTGACGATCACGCGATTTCCGAAGAAATCGACGACGTATAATTGGCGGTTGTCGAACTCATCGAGAGTGCTGATCGTCGGAGCCATGGTTTCTCTCTCTCTCTCTAAAATTTGAAATGAATTTTGTCAGTTGGATGTAAACAGAAGGAGAGGGGAATTGGGAAGGACGCGAGGGACGGTATTTATACAATGTATCACAGTGTCTGTGCAGGGAAAATGATCAGAACCGTTGATTTGAGTGATATCTAAAATCGACGGCTTCTATTCTTTGAAGGTGCGAAACCGATTAGGCTTGAACTTTATTAATAAAACATGGGCTAATCCCAAAAACAATTCTATACTATTTTTCTCATCACAATTTAAACTTTATATTTTTTTTATCCAAACAAATTTGACTTTTAAAAATTAACAAATAAAATCATGTACTTTTAAAAATTAGAAAATAAAATCCTAAACAAAAAAATAATATTTAATGTTGACATGACATCCTAATCATCTACCACATCATCAACCCTTAATATTTAGTAATATTAATTAATAAAAAATAAATATAATAATAATAATAAAATTTTAAAAATTATACATATTCATATACACATATTAATTATTATAACCACAAAATTAATTACACATTTATTTTCTATAAAATTAATTACATATTTATTTTCCAAGAACATATTTTTTTGGACAATTGAACTCATATAAAACAATATACAAATAATAAATAATTTCTTATATATATAATAATTTTTAGGAAAAAATACATATATCACACATACATATAAAATATATATATATACATATAAATGTGTAAAATAAATATATAATTAATTTTGTTGTTATAATAATTAATTTTTGTATATGAATGTGTATAATTTTTAAAATTTTATTTTTATTAATATTAATATTAATATTTTTATTAATTAATACTATTAAATATTAAGGGTTGATGATGTGGTAGGTGACTAGGATGCTATGTCAGTATTAAATAATATTTTTTTCGTTCAGTGTTTTATTTGCCAATTTTTAAAAGTAAAAGGTTTTTTTGGATTAAAAAAAAATATAACGTTTAAATTGCGACGAGGTAAAAGTATATGATTTTTTTTGGAATTATCCTTATTAAAAATGACACCGCCCATAAAATTTAAGTTTTTTTTATCGAAAAATAAAATTGCGATTCTATTGGATAGATACCAAATTTTAAATTTTGTTTTATGAAATTTGGAAAGTTAACACATTTGTTAGGATTTTCTCTTCTCAAAATCAAAATAAACAAATCTAAATATAATCAGTTTCGGTTGGTCAGTCCCGGATCACATTCTAACCAACTATTTTTTTTCAAGCAAAGAATACCTTGTAATTGCAGGCAGATGTTCTTAGATTTATGTACGTAATTGCAAACTTTTTCTAAGCACTTCTCATCAGGACCCAATCCTATTCGCCACATTAGAAAGAAAGTAGATTAAAAAAAAAAACAATGAATGAGATAGAGTTCCCCTCAGAATGTTTGTGTTTAAACAACCCAACAATCACTTTCCACAAAGATCAATAATCACCAGTCAGGATGGTGGAATCAGACATAAAACAGCTTATTTCCGCAATAATAAGGCTCAGAAACCAGAAGAGGAATCAGAAGAATCAACGAGTTCGTCCTCTGTTTCTCTCAATCCCGCTTCCATCTTTGCAAGTTCCTCTACAAATCAAAAACCAAAACTACATTAATCTCAGTGACGAACCCTTGGTAAGAAAAAGGAACTGTCTTTTTACCAAAGGATTTTCTTCTCATAACTGATATCCCCTCTGGATTATAGTATTATTCTATTTTTTTATTCAAGAATGGCACAACATCACTTTGGATCACACTTGTATAGCAAATACAGACACGATGTTTTCTCCTCCCTTGCTATTTTTATTTTTATTTTTCCTAAATTATATTTACTTTTTTTCCCACTACATACTTTCGGTTACTTTTTGTTTTCAATAATGTTGAATCAATGTTCACGAGAAGCAAAACCCAAAACGACAACAAATTCCCAAAAAAGAAAAAAAAAATCAGTTTCAGGTTCAAAAAATGGAATCGGAGAAGTGATTAAGCACCTTGGCTCCGAGCGGTGCTTTGTGGTCGCTCCACTAACGAATCAAAGGATCTCCGGAACGGCAATTTCGTTCTCGACCATCGGTCGCAGAGTTCCCCTCGTCCTCTCCGCTGCATCTCCTGCGATAATCTGCTCCATTTCCCGAGAGAGAGGGAGAGAGGAATAACCATAGAATCAAAGAGATTTCCGTGTTTGATTCATGTACTGGTTCATTTTGCAATCCTTTTTTTCAAATATATATCATTTCTGTTTGCTCCAAACGAGATAAAAATGGTAAAATCGATTTTTCGATTTTTCATTCTAAATATTATTCGATCTAAGATGGATGATTGCATGTGATTCTTCTAGATTCTATTCATCACAGGAGCTTTTGATCATTAGATTGAAAAAACAAATGCATCAAAATCTTTATGATATGAAATGATCGTTTTCTAAAAAAAAGTCATCAGCAAATCATTGACTAAATTGGAGAATCACATATATTCCAAGGAAATCAGCACAGTCTACGGCCGAAATATAAGAACCAGCAGTTTCTTCTACCCAACACAACGAAACATGAAGAAATTCTCCCTTCTTACTTGCTTTCCAAAGTTCCTTGAATCGTCTTATGTTTCTTTCCAGAGACGTTCCTCGACGCCAAGCTTGAAGCAGACGAACGCATCAACAGTGGCCTGAAGGATCTGATCATGGCGCAGGATGTATCTGTCCCAGTCACTTTTACTGATGCTAGGTTTCAAATCCACACCTTCGTATCCCAAACACTCCTTGACGATCGTCTCGAACGAAGAATCACGGAGGCTCCAGCCGTGGGAATTTTCCACGTAGAGCCTTATGTCCAGAAGACCACCGATCTCTAACTGATGCTTCGATTCCAAGAGCTTCTTCTTGTCCTGAATGTTCCAGATTCCGACGAAGGTTATCCCGAAGTCGCGGAGGAAACGACGGAGGATTTGAGGGAGGTAATCGCAGTAGGTCAGTTGGATAATGAGACAACGGCTTCCGACGCAGAGCTGTAGAGTTTCCGCCGGATTATAGGTGCCGAATTCGTCGGGAATCCACTGGACGCCAAGACCGACGATGAGACGGCCGAAGCGTTCACGGTGGCGGTGGTGGTAGCAAATGGATTGAATCCAGCGGCGGATGACAGAGGGTGTGTCCGTGACGGTGACGATCACGTGATTTTCGAAGAAATCGACGGCGTACAATCGGTGGTTGTCGAACTTAGCGAGAGTTCTGATCGTCGAAGCCATGGTTTCTCTCTCTCTCTCTCTCTCTAAAATTTGAAATGAATTTTGTCAGTTGGATGTAAACAGAAGGAGAGGGGAATTGGGAAGGATGCGACATGCGAGGGACGGTATTTATAACGTATCACAGTGTCTGTGCCCGGAAAATGATCGGAACCGTTGATTTGGGTGATATCTAAAATCGACGGCTTCTATGCTTTAAAGCCGCGAAACCGATTAGGCTTGGACTTTATTAATAAAACATTAACGGGCCGAGAAAATCGTTCAGGTTTACATAACTGTTAGGCATTCTATTTAATTTTAAAAAACTCATGTGCCAATGCAAACATTTCTTCATTTCGTAAGAAATTAATTGGGCCAATTTGCAAAGCTATTGGGCTCAATTACTGAGCTTAAACAAATAAAAACTGGGCCTAAAACCTAATCAAAATTAATATAAAAAGCAAATGATTACGATTTTTTTAAAATCAAAATAAACAAACCTTGATATAAATTATAATCAAACCGAATCGAATTATCGAACCCCTTGTTATTTTTTTTTCAAAACAAATGAATCTATTTTGATTGTTTTGCATTGGAGACGCACAGCCAAGTCGTGGGAAGTGAAAAGTTCGACCAAATCAGAGACGGAAAAGATGGGGATCGAGATCGGTGGTGGGATTGAGAGAATAAACGGTACAGAGCTGACTTACGATGCTTTTGCAGAGACGTTTTTGGCCAAGAACCTGCCAGTGGTCCTGACCCATCTCACCGACGATTGGAGAGCTCGACGAGATTGGGTCGATGAAAATGGTTGCCCTAATCTTCAGTTCTTCGTCACCCACTTCGGGAAATCCAAAGTTCATGTAATCTATTGCTCTGAATCCTTTCTTTTTCGGACAAAGATCGCGCCTTTCTGTCTCGGTGTTTTCCTTCCTGTCATGTTCATGTTTTTTTTTTCTGTCTGCTTTTATGTTCGTGACAATGGCTAGAATTGAATTTATGGTGCTTGTTTCGTGGAATGGAGTGTTTCAATTGATGCATGAACAATCTGTTTGTCTGTTCCTGGTTTTGGATCTTCACAGGTCGCAGATTGCGATACTAGAGAATTTACTGATCAGAAAAGAGTAGAAATGTCTGTTGCTGAATTTGTCGAACACTGGATTGAGGATTCCACCGAGGGCAAGCTCAAAGACGCCAGTTATTGCGGTAAAGCAAAGTCTAATCTCTATCTGAAAGACTGGCACTTTGTCAAGGTGCATATCTAAATCGTTATCTCACACATTTGTCGCCCGTTCTTGTTTTGTATCCATGCATTGCTCCCTCCTTGAAAGATAGATACAAGATCACAGCTATGCTACCATGCTTTTGTATAATTGGCAAGAGTTTGATATGATACAGTTTTTAGGGGCTGTATTTATAGGCAAGAGCTGACTGCTGACATGACATGTTGATAACTTGTAATCTTAAGTAGTAATAGTCTCTTTGCTTAACTGAAGCAAGCAGAGAGAATTTGTGTCCTGTATCAAAGAAAGTGCATTCTCTGTAAATGAATTCATGTTAACTATATGTTTTGGAATATCGTAACCATTGAATGGAGCCCTGCCTCATCTTTCATCTCTTTTTTGGTTGAATCTATATCCAGGAGTACCCACAGTATATTGCCTACAGAACTCCTCCACTATTTGGCGATGACTGGCTCAACATTTATCTAGACAGTTACCATATGCACGAGGATCGTGACACTTTCCAGAAGTATGATCAAATAAGTTGCTCTGACTATCGTTTTGTTTATATGGGAGCAAAAGGTCTGTGCAAGATTCTTATGTTTTTTCTCCCTTTTTGTTCATATGCCTCTGCCTTTGGCTTAGCTCCAAAGTTATTTGAAAAACTCTTGCTGCAGGATCTTGGACGCCTCTACACGCTGATGTTTTTAGGTCGTATAGTTGGTCAGCAAATGTATGTGGTCGGAAAAGATGGCTTTTTCTTCCTCCCTCGCAAAGTCATTATGTTTTTGACAGGCAAGCTTATAAATATGTTCCCTTACTAGTCGTATAATCTTCAGATGATGTAGAAATGAGTGCAGTTTCATGTTAGTTGATATATGATAGAAGAAGCATAAATGGGAATCTTATGGTTATTTAGATGGAAACCTCTTCATGTCATCTGGATCTTAATTCAGTGGTGTTCCTTGCCTTAATTTGCAAGATGATATGGCCATTCCCAGTTCCTGCAACCTTTGAGATTTTGCAGGTATATGAAAAATTGCGTCTATGACATCTTTGAAGATGTTGATGATACTAAATTCCCGGGTTTTAAGAAGGTAAATAAGGCGGTCCTTCTATAAGCCTGTAAGATTGCCTTGATCACATTTTATGCAAACTGTTTTATTGACTTCTCTTCAGACTACTTGGTTAGAATGCATTCAAGAACCCGGTGAAATTATTTTTGTTCCCAGTGGCTGGTATCATCAAGTATATAACTTGGTATCTCTCTCTCTCTCATCTGTTCTCATTGTGTGTGTATACTGTTTGAGCTCTCTGGATGCTTCTTTCTTAAACTGTCTCGTTTACGTTGACAGGAAGACACGATATCGATAAACCACAATTGGTTCAATGCCTACAATCTTTCCCGGGTGGTAAGTTAAGCGTGTTTCCACTTGCTTAACAGTAAAAGGAGAAGTGCTTATGTTCTGAAAAGGTTTGGTATTGGTTTGATCACTTTGCCAATTCAGTGGGATCTATTGTGGAAGGACTACAAGGACACTGAGGAATCAATAGAAGACATTAGGGACATTTGTGATGATTTTGAAGCTATCTGCCAGCGTAATCTCGCTGCAAACACAGGTTTTTGTGCGTAACCTATCTTACCTTGGAGTATTTTAATGCCATATTCTGATTTCTTTTCGTCACAGGAATGAATTTCATCGACTTCTTCATGTTCATGTCGAGATTCTGTTTGGGAAATGTGGTTTTACTGCATACCTGCTGCGAGGAAAGCAAACCCGAAAATGCAAGTTCATCGGCCATGGCGAAGAATTTGGCGTCAAATCTCTCGGGAATACGGGAGATTATGCTGACGATGAAATCCGTAGATGGCTTAGCTGTGAACAGAGTTTATCTGGACCTGAAAGCGACAATGGAGGATCCTCACTTTCTCAAGTTTTGCAGAGACATGGGAAGAACATATACAATGATTCACAACGACGACGACGAAGAAGAGGTTCTGTATTGGGAGGAAGTATCACTGGTCACTGGTTTGACTGATTACAAGACAGAGATATGTTCTCCAGAAGATGTGGTCGACATGATAGACCGTGCTCGTTCGTGTCTTTGTTTGCATGAATGTCAGAAAAAGATTGTCACTGTCCGAGTTTAATTGTGTTGGCGTCAGAAATCAATTGTAATTATAAATTATGCCATTCCACTTTTTTAATGAAATGACTGTAATATTATGTTTAGACTTTATCAGTTCCTTATAACTGAATTTGTTTCATTTTTTTATTTAGCTACAATGATTAACGATAATTAAATAAATTTTCGCTTCTTGGTTGAGACAAAACATTGAAATAAAATAACTATTTAATAATAATGATAATGATAATGATGATGATAATAATAAATAACTATTCTTTATAAAAAAAAAAAAAAGATTCGCTTGTATTCATATATAATATCCGGTAAAATTTATCCTCTGATTTTGGTCTTCCGCTCAACCTTTATTCTACCACTACAAAAATCAAGTCAATATCTATATATATATATATTTATATAAATAAATTCTTCAAATCGTGTAAAACAAAATTGAAATATATTTATTTTTTTATATCATAACCACTTGTATTTTATAAAGAGTTATTCGTAATTATGAAATTGGATATTTTTCTTCTTTTAAAACTTATTAGAGATATATATGAAAAGATGTATTTTTATATCTTATCAAAATCTCAAGATGTTCCGTCCATCAAATCAAAAGATGTATTTTTATTCATCATATTGGTTTCGATCATAACACAACGAAATTGAAGAAGGAAAGAGAAAACAAAAAAACCAGATTTTGCAATTTAAGATATTTATTTTCCGTCATCCGACAGGCGACATGTATCTACCCCATGCTGTTGATCTTAGCCCGACCTTCAACCTGTCACCGCAAAAATCACGTCAACTCGTTCTAAACATATATGTCATATACACACACATTACATGATACATGCATACATATATAGATGGTTATATATACATATATATAATTTGATTAGGAAGAAATATATATATAGAAATACGTACGGCGGGGGGCAGTCCGGGACATTTTCTGGCAATGCAATCCAACATGCACTGAGTGTCGGGAGGAGAAAATGCGCCTTTCCAACAATCATGTTCTTCGCAGTCGTCTTCGCATTCTTCACGCGTCATTCCTCTCACGTGCCCAATCTCATTGGATGATATGATCATCATCACCATCATCCCCATTATTATCATCACGCTCTTCTTCCCCATTATTTCTTATTATTAGTATAATATCTATCAAATGGACTGATCTTTTTATGTTCTGACTCTTTTTTTTTTATATCTCTACTGGTTCAACTAGTTACAATGAACTCCTATTTATAACCTTAATTCCCTAACCCACTCGGTCTTATAAATTATATATATCAGTTTGGTGATTTTCTATTTTGGAATTACCTCATCTAGATTCCCCCTTCTTAATTTGGTATATTTTTTGTATACCATGACCTTTTTTTTCTTAATTGGGTATAATTCAGTGCATAGTTTATAATTTGTTGTTAAAGTTTTGACTGTGCATAATATAAATAATGTGTAGTTTATAATTTTTTTCTAAATATGTGCGTCAGACATTTGGTGATTTCTTATTTTGGAATAAATACTAACTCAACTAGATTTCCTTCCTTTTTAATTTTGTACATTTTTGGTATACATAGTATGACTTTTTTCTTAACTTGGTATAATCTTGTATAGATTTTTTTTGTTAAAATATAATTTAGTGTATAGTTTATTATTTGTTTTTAAAATTTTAACTATATATAATATATCTAATGTGTAGTTTATAATTTCTTTTTTCTAAATAGGTGCGTTTGGATCCCATATATAGAAAAAATGATTTATACATATATATTATAAGCTCTTTTAAAAATATTTTAAGTATCAAATCCGAACCGGAATTGTACATCAAAACTATAAATAGATTGCAAATTATAGCACTTCTATATTTTCCATGTATAAAGATTTGTTGAAATTTATAGATTGAATTTAGGAAAATTATATATATAAAAAATCTAATGAATAACTGATAGTTTTTCAAAAGTTAATAATAAAGAATTACTTATATTATCTAGAAGTGGTGGTGCAGTGGTGTGACAGTACAAAGTGCTTTCCCATGTCTACGGTATGGGTTGAGACAAAACATCAACATCAATTATAATGATAATGATAATAATTGTGATAATGTTAATGATGATGATGATGATGATGATGATGCTGATAATGATGATGATGACGACAAACAACTATCCTTTATCTTATATGTCATTTTTATAGCACAACATTGAAATAAAATATAGAAGAAAAAAAGATTGGCATGTATTCATATATAACTTCATCACAGGTCTGGTAAAATCTATCCTCGGGTTTTGGTCTTCCGCTCAACCTTTATCCTGCCACCACAAAAATCAAGTCAATATCCATACATATAGAGAGAGATAGAGAGAGAGAAAGGATTACGGGGGGAGGGGGAGAACATTTTCTGGCGATGCAATCCAACATACACTTAGTGTCGGGAGGTGAAAATACGCCTTTCCAAAAATCTTTGGCAGCGTAATTGTCTTCGTATTCTTCATATGACATTCCTCACACTTCTCCAATCATATTGGATGCTATGATCATCATCACCATCGCCATCATCATCATCACTACACTATCCCTCTGCTTTTTCATTCTTTAGATTAAAACCCTAATCAAATTTTCCACTCTATTTATCAAATTCACCCACTTCACATGATTTGATGTTGTTACATCCCCTATTTATAGTCCTAAAAAAACTCTCTCATATACATCTTGTTACTTGTTCTCTTTCTTTATCTTTTGGAATATATATCAAAATTTTTGTTATTTCTTGATACGTTATTGATTAGTTTCTTCATGCATTTATTTAATATAAGAGTATATCGTCGTTCCTCTCTAACCAAGTGTTGACAAAGTCATAATGAATAGTATAAATTCCCTAGGCACACAATCCTTCAATAGATATATGTGAGTAGGATAACACCGTCCACATATTATATAAATAAATTCTTCAAATCATGGAAGACAAAATTGAAATATATTTATTTTTTATATCACAACCCCTTGTATTTTATTATGAGTTATTCGCAATTATGAAATTGGATATTTTTCTTTTTTTAAAACTTATTACAGATATATATATATGAATCTCGTATATCTTATCAAAATCTCAAGATGTTCCATCTATCGAATCAAAAGATGTAGCTTTTTATTCATCATATCGATTTCGATCATAACATGACGAAACTGAAGAAGAAAAGAGAAAAAAACCGAATTTTGTAATTTTAAATATTCATTTTCCGTCATCGGGCATGCGACATGCATCTACCCCATGCTGTTGATCTTCGCCCGACCTTTAACCTGTCACCACAAAAATCACATTAACTCATTCTAAACATATATATGTCATATACACACACACTACATGATACATATATACATAGATACATACATAGATAGATGATTATATATATACATATATATATATATGTATATAAGTTTAACTAGGAAGAAATATATATAGAAATACGTACGGTGGGGGGAAGGCCGGGGCATTTTTTGGCGATGCAATCCAACATGCACTGAGTGTCAGGAGGAGAAAACGCGCCTTTCCAACAATCATTGGCTTCGCAGTCGTCTTCGCATTCTGCACGCGTCATTCCTCTCACGTGCCCAATCTCATTGGATGATATGATCATCATCACCATCATCACCATCATTATCATTATGTTCCCCTTCCCCATGATTTCTTGTTATTAGTATAATATATTTATCAAATGGACTGACCTCTTTATATTCTAATTCTTTTTTTTTATATCTAGACTGGTTCAACTAGTTACAATGAGCTCCTATTTATAACCCTAATTCTCTTATCTACTTATGCTTATAAATTATATAATTAGTTTGGTGATTTCGTATTTAATTTGAATTATCTCATCTAGATTCCTCCCTACTTAATTTTCTATATTTTTTTGTATACTATTACCCTTTTTTTTTCTTAATTGGGTATATTTTGATATAATCTAGTGCATAGTTTATTATTTGTCGTTAAAATTTTGACTATGCATAATATATATAATGTGTAGTTTATAATTTTTTTTTTCTAAATATATGTGTCGTTTGGTGACTTCCTATTTTGGAATAAATATGATCTCAACTAGATTTTCTCTCTTCTTAATTTTGTAGTTTTTGTATACATACTGAAAAAGTTAACATAATATGATTTTTTTTATGATCTCATTTAGATTTACTCCCTTCTTAATTTTGCATATCATTGGTATACAAATAGTAAAAAAGTTAATATAGTATGGCCTTTTTTTATAATCTCAACTCGATTTTTTCCTTCTTAATTTTGTATATTTTTGGTATACATAGTGAAAAAGTTAACATAGTATGACTTTTTTATGATCTCAACTAGATTTTCATCCCTTTTTAATTTTGTATATTTTTTGTATACATAGTGAAAAAATTAACACAATATAATTTTTTTATGACTTCAACTCGATTTCCTTCCTTGTTAATTTTGTATATTTTTTGTATATATATTGAAAAAGTTAACATAGTATAACAATTTTTATGACCTCAACTCGATTTTCTTCTTTCTTAATTTTGTATATTTTTGGTATACATAATAAAAAATTAACATAGTATGATCTTTTTTTTTTTTACCTCAACTGGATTTTCTTCCTTCTTAATTTTGTATATTTTTGGTATCTATAGTATGAACTTTTTTTCTCAACTAGATTTTCTCTCGCCATAACACTTCTATTTTTTCCATGTATAAGGATTTGTTGAAATTTACTAGATTGAATTTAGGGAAATTATATAAAAAAAAATCTAATGAATAACTGCCAGTTTTTGAAAGAAAAATAAGAAACACTTTAGTTGGGATGCAAAAGACGGTATGACATGTGAGTCTGTCCATAATATTTAGTTGTGATTAAGAAATTCAAATCTAAAAAACATGCATCATACGAACCATCTCATTCAAACTACGAGGTAGACTTTGTGAATCAAGAATTTTTTTTATTTTCATTACATTTAGAATTATTTTATTATTTTTAATTTTTTTTATTAACATTTTAGGAAGATCTAGGTATATGTCTCGTTAAAAATAGGTCGCAACAGAATAAACCCAAAACATATCGGTTCGAATCGAGTTAGATTGGTTTAGACTGAACCAACCCGTTTTGCACTCCTAACCACATATTTTTGTTTATATTTGATACAATAGTCGTCAAAAGTATGTATAACGTAATCAATTATACAAAAATATGTGGTTAGAGGTGCAAAACGCAAATAGATTTAATAAATATTATAATTAGTTTTTAAATTTAATTTTATATGTTCGTTATTATTAAATTTATTGATATAATAAATATCATTTTATTAATTATATTTATAAAAAATATTTATTTTTATTGCATTATTATTATTATTATTTATTTTAGATCATATTTCAGATATTATGATTAAAATTAATATTTAATAAAAACTATTTATTTTTTAACTATTTGGTAAGAAAAAGGAA